TGGTTTTCTAACAGCTTTTTGGTTTTTTTTTCCCTCCTGTCAGCTTATATTTTATATTGCTGGTCATCAGAGCACTCATCCTTAAAAGCAAATTTAATCATTCCTCAGGTTACTAATTGCAGCTATTATCCCGGGGTTCAGCACTAAGGTGTATTTTCACAGTTGTGAATACAGTTTGCAGTTTTGTTGTATCATAACCATGCACATGTATTGCTTATGGCTGCTTTTTGTTAAACAAGGAGAGAAATTAGTGCTGTAATTGCAGCTGGAACCAAATGGTCCTCAAGCCTAGAATATTTTTAACTGGCATTTTAAGACAAAGTCCCATGATTTCTAGGATAAAATTTAGAATTTGTGCCTATATTTAGATTCACTTCCACTGATACTCAATGTGTGTTCTATTAGATGGCTCCTGCTTCCTTTCATTCTTGTCAAATTTGGGTTTCCTTAGTCTTCATTGTCTTGAGTTTCCTTCCCAACCCCCTCCCTCCTACACACAATTAAATAAGTGGTGCTTTTACTCTTCCAAGAAAATTCAAGAATGATACGATATTTTAAATTTCACTCTAGGGGGCCCTAGTGGCTAAAGTTCTTGCCTTGCATGAGCCACGATCCTATATGGGCACCGGTTTTAATCCTGGTTGTTCCACTCCTCCTCCAGCTCCCTGCGTCAAGCCTGGGAAAGCAGTCCAGGTTGGCCCAAAGCCTTGGGAGCTTGCACTTGCACCTCTACTGGGAAACCCAGAAGAAGCTCCTGGCTCCTGGCTCTGGATTAGCTCAGCTCTGGCCGTGTGGTTGCTTGGGGTGTGAGTCAGCAGATGGTTATTTGTCTCTGTATCTCCTCTCTATATATCTGATTTTTCAATAAAAATAAATAAATGTTTTTTAAAATTCACTTTATCACTTCCTTCTTGCATGCTGTAGTTGTCGTTTATTTAAATTCGCCACTGAAATTCCATATTGTTTATGAAATCAATATTCAATTACATTTATCTACATAGTTGACATTTGGCTGCTCTTCACTCCTTGATACGCATTTCTCATCCCTGTGTATGAAATAGAAAAAAAATTGAAAAGTCGTTACATTAACCTCACTCCTGAATAATAATCAGGCTGGATATAGACTTAATTTAATTTTCCTTGAGAGCTGGAAGACATGATTTCATTGTCTTTTAGTGTGTGCTGATGCATGCAAATAGAATTATGATAGTAACCTGATGTTTCTCTTCTTTGGTCAGTTTTAAGGTTTCTTTTTAATTTTAGGTCCAAGATGAGTCTAGGATGTGCTTAGGTAATTTTAAAAATATTTAAGTTAATTCCACTTGTTTAACCTTTAGATCTCGGAAAGAAAAATGTTTTTTTTTTTTCTTTTCCTCTGGAATGCCATTTAGAAAGATAATAAGGCATCTGGATGTCTCATCTCAGTTGCTTAGCATTTGTGTTCCATCTTTTCTTCTTTTTTATCTTCCATTCAATATACAGTATACTCTTGGCTCCATCTTTCAATTGCTAATTTAATCCATTACCATATTCAGAACTTTTTTTTAGACAGTAAGATTTTAAAATTCTGAGCTGTTACTTCTCTGAATTGATAGAAAATAATCAAGAATCTATCATGACAGAATTATACCTATTTTGAACTTATCTTGTGTTTCCATTTGGCTGTTTTACATGTTTTTCTTTTATTTATTTATAGTTTTCCCCTCTTCTAAAAGATTTATTTATTTATTCAAAAAGCAGTGTGAAGAAAAAGAGAGGGTTTGTAAGTTGTGGTTTTACCCACTCTGCCGCAGTGCTGACCCCAACCCCTCTGAGTTATACTACTTTCTTTCCCCAAATGTTTTTGATTTTGAACCGTTTATAGTTTAGTTACATGTGTTAGGATATATTTTCTTTTTACTTACGTCAAATGTAGATCTACTTTTCTTGCTGGTGAGTGCTTTGTTTAAATTCTAGGAATTGAATTTCAGGTAGGTTTACCTGCTGAGTTCAGATCACTTTGACCCGCTAAAGAAAAGGATAAGCTATCAGACTGTGCTTACAGTGCACAGTCTGATAGCTTTTCCATTCTCAGCCTTGGCCTTGGTGGAACCATCCCTTCAGAGATTCCTACAAAGGCTTTTTATGGCCATCTTTGCCCCACCTCTTGTTTCAATAAGAATCAGTGCATGGAAAATCTTCTCTGTTTCCCGTTCTGTTTGTAAAAATATGTCTTTCTAATGAAAAATTTTTAAAAAGTTTAAAGGGAACACATGATCATGAGGCTTTTATTTTAAAATGTTTATTTATTTATTTGAAAGAGTTACAGAAAGAGAGGGAGAGAGAGAGAGAGATCTTCCTTCTGTTGGTTCACTTTCTAGATGGCCAAACAGCCAGGGCTACGCCAAGCCAAAGCCGTAAGTCAGGAGCTGCTTCCAGGTCTCTCCCACATGGATTGTAGGATCCCAAATACTTGGACCATCATCCACTACATATTGCAGGCCATTACCAGGGAGCTGGATTGCAAGTGGAGCAACTAGGACCCAAAGTGGTTTCGCTGTGGGTGGCTGATGCCAGAGGTGGTGACTTTTTCTGTTAGCCATAACACTGACCCTGAGTAGCTGCTTTTTACTTAAACATGTCACAGCTTATTCTCCTTTACTCTGATTCGTTGCAGATAGTCAGATTTAACATTTTACTTTTAAAAGGCAGGATTATACACAGGGGATAGTGAATTACTCCAAGTTCGAACCAACGCTCATATGGAATGCTAGGCATCGCAAGTGTCAGCTCAACCCAGTCTGCCAAAAATGCTGGTCCCCTTCTCTTGTTGTTGTTTTGTTTTGTTTTTAAGATTTGATTTGTTTATTGAAAGAGTTATATACAGCGAGTCAGAGAGAGACCTTCCATCCAGTGTTTCACTTGCCAAATGGCTATGATGGCCAAGAATGGGCCAGGCTGATGCCATGAGCCTGGAGCTGGGAACCAGGAGCTCCTTAGTCTTCCACATGAATGACATGGGTCTCTACACTTAGTTCATCTTCCACTGCCTTCCCAGAAGCTGGGTTGAGACCAGAGCAGCCAGGACTCAAACTAGTATTTATATGGGATACTGGTGCTATAGGCTATTGTGTTATAGTGCCAGCCACTCCCTCTTTTACTCTGAAAAGGTCAAGTTTAAGTAGAAAAATAGGAATCAGTTACACCTTTCTATTCTTCATCTACCAGTATATGAACTTTATTCTGGTAACTGATTTGTGTGTTGTGTGATTAGATTCTTAAAAATATGTCTGTTTAGGTCTTGGGCTCTTGGGAGATTTTGTTGTCATATCAACCACCACAGGTTTGAATGTACAAGAAAAATGCCAAAAATTATCCAGGATGTACTGAAATGAATACTTAAGGGTTTCTGGTGATGCCAAGTAATGTAATAAGAAATACTTTTATGTGGATTGTATGGATCTTATTTTAGTTTTATGGTTATTGTGTTTATGTGTGTGTACAATTTTTTAATCATCTAAGTCACATTCTTAACCTCCACTTAAAGTTGGCTATATTGGGGAAATCAGATGCCTGGAGTATATTATCTGTATAAGGACTAGTCAGAAAAAAAAGACTGTTCAAGTGGACTATGAAGCTTTGCTCTTCCATTTCATGCTGTTCCTTTTTGTTGTTCTTCTGAAATAACTTAGAGACAAATACAATTTATTGAAGTGTATTAAACAGGATAGAAGATAGTGATATGGGGTTAATGTTGTAACAGAGTCATTCTGTCAGTGTCAGGGACCAGTAATCAAAGTGAAATGAAACAAAAGATGTGGAAACCATTTAGTAGGCCCCAGCTGTGCTGGGCAAGACACCATTGGAAGAGACAGTGGCACTGGCAGTCCTGTTGAGATCCTACCCAGGCTAAGGAACATAATCTGTAGGACCGAGGTGTTGGAAATGGTTTCTGAGCGATGTTAGGAGTTAGGTAAGAGCACATTGTTTCTTGGTATGTGTTAAACTATCCGAGTCTCCAAAAGACATTGAATTCAAGTGACTTTTCTGCACTGGAAGGAAGCTGTAGCTATACCAGAGCAGTTGCAGCAACATTTGATCTGTGTGGCTGACCCATTTTACTCTCCATTGCAAGAATTAGACTTTCTGAATGTTCTGTTTCTTTTGATGTCCAAATCTGACCCTGTGCTGTTCTGTAGCCATTTTCCCTGCAATTCTCAAGTATTAGTGCACAGATCTTATGTTTAGTGAAGCTGTTTGATTTTCCCTATCTCTCATAACAAATGTACTGATAATGTTTAGGGATAATTGTATGCAATTTAATTTTCAGATTGTGGTAATCATTATTGCTGTTTTTGTTTTCATTTTCTCTTCCCCAGGCATCATCAGCTATAAATGTTTGACAAAATTATGCCCTTTAGGGTGATTTTCAATTTTCTCACTTTGGGAGGCATATTTTTGTGTCAGTCATAAAGAGTTGAGATTTGGATTATTAAGCACTTGAGCCCCTAGCATCCACATTGGACCATTTAACACTTTACATTTCCTTGTAAATGGAAAGCTTAGCCCATCTGTATGCTGTTTCGCTGTTCCTGACGACCTCATCTAACTTAGCAGTGTATGTGCCTGTCCTCCAAACCCACACTCCGTTTCTTGATGTGCCAGAAGGCCTGCCATGCAGGAGGTAAAACAGAAGTAGCTTCAGCATTCAGGTTGTTTGTAAGTGTGCGTTTGGGTTTTTTCCTGAGATTTGTGCTGGGAGGACCATGTGTGGAAGAGTTTGTCTCTGTCAACCAACAGAACTAGTTAAGCATGTGTCTGGAGCTTTTGACCATAGCAGTGTTTCCTTTAAAGCAGCAGACCGTGTTACCACAGAATCTCTTCCTCTTAGGGCCCACAGAATGCCGGGCCCTGTTGATGGAATCAACTTCTCCCACTTCTCTCTAATGGCTGTTCTCTAAAGTGTGGAAATTGGCTGAGTTATAGACTGTGAATTGATATTCTTTGTTTTAACCTTCTAGAAATGCATGTTCTGCAGACATCGGGTTAAGAAAATTTCTGGAGCCTGTATCCAGTGTTCCTATGGCCGCTGCCCAGCCTCCTTCCATGTCACATGTGCTCATGCTGCTGGCGTACTTATGGAGCCTGACGACTGGCCTTATGTGGTGAACATCACATGCTTTCGACATAAAGTCAACCCAAACGTGGTAAGCTCTTCCCAAATTTTAAGTCTTCATCTAGATTCTTTTTGACCTCCCAGATATGATGTACTTGCTTAGTGTTATTCATAGGTGACATGTCCAGACTCTGGGTTGCTTGAGGGCAAGAAATATGTATTTTTTATTTAATGCTGTTTGTCCAGATTTCCACATTTCCTGATACGCACTAAATTTTTTTTCCAGCTTGATTAATGACTGAATAGATGAATGAATGTGACTGTTAATGCTCATTTTGGTTTAGTATCTGTGCACAAGGCTGTTGGGTATGATTACAGTGATTACACAGTATATGTTTCTAGGGTGAAGAGAAGACCATTTCTGGAAGGCAAGTCAGGGAAAACAGCTCTTGAGATGATGCAGTGGACAGACAGTATGAATGGACTGTGTGTCTTTTCATGTCTTCTAGAAGTAATAGAATACCATTTCAGTGAAGGAAGAAGGAGTATGACAGGGACTCTTCCTGCCTGGCATGGTACCAGTGAGAAGCCACAGAGAGGCTCTTGACAGAGTGAGGACAGAGCATTTCTATGTCATGAAGACATAGAAATGTACATGAGAACTATAGAGTTGAATTTTTAGTTTTATCTTTTCCATTTAAATACGTACTGAAGATTTTTCTGGAAGAATAGGGTTTGTCACCAAATGAAAATAGGAAAGATTTTATTCACCGAATACAGGTAATATCCTTTCTTTGGTGAATGAATGCTTGTAAAATGCTTAGGAGAAATGTGGCAGTTTTCATTTTCACTGTTCTTTATTCCCAACAAGGAGAAGGTAAAGCATTTTTTTAGGAGCTCAGCTTTGCTACTTTGCTGCTCTTAGTTATCCCTGGGAGACGTGACGATGGACTGTAAGCTAACTTGCTTATCCTGTGTCTCTAACACCATCTTGTGAGCAGTGTGTTAAATTGTCATTATTGGCTTGTCGAGTCATGATCCATAAACAAGGGATTTCCCAGATCTTTATGATGATCCCAGCAATTTGCATTGACATTTGAGGAATGTTTTACATTTGTAGATGTGTATAAATGTTAAAATTTACAAAATGATGTCACCAGCTGTCATATCTATTTTAAAGTTACTTTGCATCTTTCCATTGTCTCAGGTCCTAAATTGCATATTCATTTATTCCCTTCTCTTCATTTTTTGAGTTCATATGCTCTTGCTAAGAATAGCATTACATATTCAGCAGAAAATTTATTTTAACAACTAAACCAATGTAATAATAACAAACTAATGTGATGCCTTGCCCATTTACAGTGTTTAGTCAATGTCACAGCCTCATTTGGCCATACAAATGGCCTTTGAGATGTGAACAACGCCTTGACCCTTCGTGTCGGAATTGTTGGTCTTCACACTTAGATTTTGCCAATGACAGATGTTCAACCTTGCACACTTTCTTATCTCTGAGCATCAGCTTCCTTGTCTATTAAGAAAAAAACGTGGAACCCTTCTTCACTATTTTGTTTTTAGTTCACAGCACAGAGTAAGCACTCACCATATGAAAGCTGCATTACGACTACTACTTCTGCTGCTGCTGCTAGTGCTGCAATGTTAGGTGAAGTGGGCCATGTGAGCAGTGTTTCCAGGGTAAGAAACTGAAGTTCAGAGAGGTTCAATTCTCTGCCCAAATAGATGTGTTAATGAGCTGCAGGTGCTGGAATATGAATGCCCAGAGTCCATACTCTATTATTTGTTGAATTCCAAATGCCAAACCTCAAATGATACTAACCATGTTCATCTAAAGCCTTGCTTGGGATTATCTACTCCCTTTTTAATATTCCAAAGCTCTGTGGTTACTGATGATTATATTGAAGTTGCTATTAACCCAATCCAGGTGTTTTATCAGGACCTGATTCCTCTTAATTCTGATGTGTAGTTCAGGTACAGGTTATTAGTGTGTTTCATAAACAATAATGAAAGAAATGTTTCACTTGGAAGTGATTTAGAAACCACTGCCCTGTACAGATGTGCTTTAAGGCATACTTTCTAAAGAGTGGGGGAAGAAATATCGCTTAATTTGCAGCATTAGATAGGGCTGCTTTCCTTATGAGATAAAAATGTTACTGTTAGGAAATGGCCTTAGTTTTCTTCTATGATGTGGCACAATTGTGATTCAGCAATTTAAGTCCTGAGAAACTAGGTCTGGGTTGGGCAAGCCAAAGAACAGCTTAGCAGCCTTCTGCAAGTTCGTACCTCTTTATTCACAGCAGTGGGCAAAAATGTATCCAGGAGCATAAGCTCTTTTCTCCTGGTGATCAACTGGACTGTGATGATGGGTGGCATGTAGCCACACATCCCTTTTCCCCGATTTTCATATTATCTTACAGACAAATGTGGCTTGTAGCAAGCCATTACGTAGCAGGGTCATAGTTAGCTAGCCAAGCAATTGGGCCTGTTACCGTGAAAGCAATTGCCATATGCAGAGATATGGAAGGAGCATGGACAAAAGGCATAGATACTTGAGAAATACTATCTTCCCAAGTTATTTTCAGCAACTTTACACCACTCCTTCTCACTTCTTGTTCTCTCGATCTTTGTAGATGTTGTCTTCTTGAAAGATCCTGTGTGAGGAGCCTGCATGAAATGTGGAATATCACATCAAAATTACAAATGAATATGCAATAAAATAATAAACAGGGTTGTTTGCCTTCCCTTTGTAAGAGATACCCACGAGTATCAGAAGGAGTTCCCAGTCAGTTCTGTGTGCAGTGTTTTTCCCATCATAGCAGCAAGGACTTGGGTTGTATTTTAAGGAGTATCAGTAAAAAGACACAACATTCATTCTTCAGCATGGTGTACACAACCCCTTTGATTGCTGTAAGGCTGTCTAATCCCAGGTGACTTTTCAGAACAAGCTTTCCTGTTTGATACAGTTCCTCATTCAAGAGGACCAAAGCCTTATTGCTTCAAAAATCATGGGTGTAAGGGCCAGTGTAACAACCTCAGCCTGTGTGATCATACACACTACATAGGGGTATGTGGAGAACAGGGAGAGTAGATATCCAGCCATGCTGCGTATTTCACTTGTTGCCAAACCTTGACGATAATCCCAGTTGGAAGATGATATGGGGAAGTGTAGAGACTCCTTGCCTCAGTAAAAAGGGCCTCTCCATTTATAGCATTCTGCCCAGCTGTTAAGAAAATTTTACCCAACATCCACAAGCCCATAAGGTACCTGAAGGCATAGGGTAAGCACTTTCTTTAGCACTGGGATCCTGCTTTCCCCTTTTGTTATCTTTACATGTGTGCTATTTACACAAAGCCATAAGAGTCCAATCCATTTGGGAAACATTCCTGGTTTGTTCTATGAAGGTTGGCACACCTGAGGGCAATTCTGCTGCCTCTGAAGAAAGTCAGCCTACAACACCCTGTATAAGATAACCCATCCTGGCTTGGTTTTGTGTTACCTCTGGACTAAAATCTTCGTATGAGACCAAGTTTGGTTCTGCAGTGGGTCAGATGAACTCCTGCTTTCCAACAGAGTCCAGTTCTGGTCACTGGCTATGGTTATCTTCTAAAGAGGCCCAGTTACAAATCTGACAGGAAGTTCAGTGCACACCCAACAAGCTGTTGGTCACTGTTGCAAAGATATATGCCCAGTCCACAGGATATTTGCAGCCACCAAGCCAGTAAGTCAGAGTGGTTAATGGTACCCACAATGGCAAATTCTGACCATCATTCCCTTGATAGATAAGAGGTATATGACCTTTCACATTGCACATAGTGTTATGTTCTGATGTGTCAAGTCCCTGAAATTTTGCTGCATGTTTGGCTGGTTCATAACCATCAAATTCTGTCACTGTCAAAGTCCCTGTCACTATCCAGACAGGCCTCAGTATACAGTCCTGTTGTCTATGCAAATAACAAGGTCCTCTGTTGGCTCTATCTGTGTACCAGACCTCCACAAGAATTGGTGGTATCCCATCAGAGTGGAGCAGGAATCAGTTCCATAGCACATGAGGCCTCAGGGAGCCTTTTGGCAGTCATGTACCTCCCAGGTCCCTAAATCTCTTATAGTTCAATCCACAAAGGTCTTGCATTGAAATCTCTCAGTTGCTGCAAGTGGGCACCCTGCTTTGCCAATGTGGACATTGTACCCCTATGTGGTCTCACTGTCAGTCTCATACTAGCCAGCAATAGAGTATGAGACTAACACTGACACGAGCTGTGCCTGCTATGCTTAGTAGTGCTCAAGGCAAGTATACTGCAGCCAGCTGTTAGTCACTTAAAGAATAGTGATCTCTGCTCTTTTCACTGATTGGAACCAAAACTCTACAGGTTATCTCTGAGTTTTATGCTTTTGCCAGTGTCCCCAACCAAACCCTTCTGCAGTAATGAGATGGAAAAATCTGAATCTTATCTATTGCTGCTTTGGGAGTGACTGTGTTTATTACCAGACAAAACAACTTACAAGAAGTTGACAAAAAGTCTAGGATATAACATCTTGGACTCATTAATCACCCAGCTACGTGACTCTAGATGGTTCAACAAAGCAAGAATAGATATTTCCAAGTCTGCAAGAGTTTCACTGCTAACATCATATCATCTGTCTCTGAAGCATCAGTGCGGATGTAGGTGCAGGCCCCTCACCAAGTCAGCTGTTATCAAACCATGACAAAGATGGGACTATGTGGATAGCCTTGTAGAACAATAGAAATTCATTGCTGTGTGTCCTAAGTGAAGGTTCATTGCTGTCCACCCCAGTGAAGGCAAACTGGTCTTGACTCTGAGGAGCTATATCAGTAGAACAGAAAGCATTAGTCAGTTATAAAACAAAATGGTAAGTGCCAAGTTCATGACAGATTTGGTCTATGTTGTTGCTCATCAATGGTACCATGCATGGAGAGGAACAATTTTATTAAGCTTGCAGTAATCGACAATTATCCACCAAATTCTGTCTAGGCTTTTCATGAGCCATACTGTGGATTTAGATGTTCTCTGCATAAGTCTAATAATGCCCAGCTTTTCCAAATCATGGATAGCTTCAGCAGTTTCTTCATGACTCGCTGGCAGTTTATACTGCTTATTGGTCACCAGCCTGGATCTGTGTAACTACAAATAGTGAGTGGGTGACTGTAGTGGTCAGTGGACAATATGCCCAGCTACACTACTTTAACCATATGCACTTGCCATAGATAATTACCATAGACCCTGCAGGACATCAGTGCCCAATATGTGCTCATGTTTGGGGCCACATACATATTGTATTCCTGAGGTGGTAGACACCGTAGTCCCAAAGGCAGCTTTATTGTTTTATTAGAATAGAATGTCCTCCATAACCAATTATGGCTACTGGGAGCCCAAGAAACTTGCTAGACTTGCTGGTTGTAATGTAGCTCCTATATTATCCATTGCCAGCACTCTATGTACATTAGAGAAGGACTGGTGGATTGCAAGTTACACATGTGGCCTCCAGTCCCCATCCGTGCCATACAGGTAGGTACTTTAACCTCCCCCACCAATCAATTGAAATACGGATTAAAATGACAAGTCATTAATGACAAGTCATGACTGATCCACACTTCTTAAAATCATTTATCAAATTGTGAAGCCACACTACTCAAACTCCTGATGTCCAGTTCAGTTATTTGCTGACATTAGGCCTCCTATTTGGCCAGAGCCATGCTTGCATTTTTTTTTTATTGTTACAGCACTTGCAACAGTATACCTTGTTAGCCTGTCCATTTAATTTCTCACACAGTTTGCCCCCGCTGCCAGGAGATTGACCCATATCTCACCTTTTTCTGTTGCCGAGCTGTTGTTCACCTCCCTTCTCCTGAATGTTGTCTCCAACTTTCCCAAATGAGTAACATCATGGTTAATCACATTGACAGCCTTTCCCATATACAGATTATTATTGCCATTTAAGAACCAAACAAAGTAGAGTAGTCTGCAATATAAGTTTCTGAATTTTTGCTGTCAAAACTTTATCTGGCCTGTGAATACCAATGTTATAGATAGCATTATTCACACTCAATTTCCCTAATACTAACAGCAACCTAGTGTGCATTTGCCACTTACTAATGACCCTGGGTAAATCTTCAGAATTAGGACAAACCTACTAAACACCAGCCATGAGACACTGCAAAGGAGAATGATCCACTGCCATGATGGGCAGTCCGGGGCCTCTGATCTAGAACTGGTGAAACAGAGTTATTACTTTGTACATCTCTGGCCTCAAGAGCAAAGTTCCATCCACCTGTAGCCAAATGGGAATAAATTCAACTTCTTATCAACTTTACCCCCAAATCCACTAGCTGTGCTTGAGCGTGCTGGTGGGACACTTAATGCCCAGCATCCTGATGGGAACCTGTGACTGTCTTGGAGGAGCCAACCCTCAGTTTCTGGGTCTTTATCTTTTGAGTAATTACCAGACAGGTCTTCAACAATATAGGAGACTCAGTGTTGTCTTCTTAAACCCTGGAACATGTACCCACTGCAATCAGTGGGTCATGTTTGGCATCAGATACACATGAAGGATAGTAGCCCCTAAATGCAGGGTGCAGGTACTGTATGCTTTTGTTCTTTGATCCTCTCTTGCCTCCTGACTCCCATGATGCCTGAGACTG